ACAGATTTCCTAATTTTGCAAGAGTTTGCTTCCCTTGAATAAAACATCTTGAATTACTCTTTTGATATGGTACTGGATTCTCTTTTAAATACATATTCATAAGCTAACTTGAACTTGGGAGTTTTTTTTATACTATCTTTATCAGGTTACTATAAGGCTGGCTTCATAAAATGATTTAGGGAGTTTCTTTTTCTTTGCCCTAAAAGAGTAAAAAATATTTAATGATGCATTGTTCTTTTTTTTAAATATTTATTTGAAAGAGAGAGAATGCGAGAGAGCGAGGGAGGGAGGGGCAGAGGGAGAGAGAATCTCAAGATCCCACTGAGTGTGGAGCCCATCTTGGGGCTCCATCTCACAACCCTGAGATCATAACCTGAGCCAAAGACAGATGCTTAACCAACTGAGCCATCCAGGAGTCCCATCCATTGTTCTTTAAGGATTAAAAAGGATTTAAAGGATTTACCTATGTGTCAAGTCTTCGTGCTATTTTTTATAGTGGATATTTAATCTCCAGTTTTTCTAGGGTAATTAGTCTCTTCGTGTTTTCTACTTATTGGGTCAGTTTTATTAGAAAGTCATTCACATCTCCTAGGTTTTCAAATGTGTCGTTCTTGAGTTTTAGTACAGTACCTGAATTTCTGTATCATTACCTCCTTTCTCATTTCTACCTTGTATAATTTTGTTGTTGTTTTTTTTAAGTCAAGGTCAAAAGAGGATTATCTAGGGCACCTGGCTGCCTCAGTTGGTAGAGCATGTGACTCCTAATCTCAAAGTCAGGAGTTTGAGCCCCATGTTGGGCATTGGGCTTATTTAAAAAATAAAAATAATACACACACACACACACACACATATGGGGCACCTGGCTGGCTAAGTTGATGGAGCATGTGACTCCTGATCTCAGGGTAGAGAGTTCAAGCCCCACACTGAGTGTAGAGCTTACTTAAAAAAAAAAAAAAAAAAATCATCTATCCTATTGGTCTCTTCAAAGAACCAGCTTTAGGATTTATTTATGTAAGTTTGGGGATTTTCTGTTTTATTAATTTCAATTGATATTTTTATTGCTTCTCTTACTACCATTTTGTTGCTAATTAAGATATACAATAAGTATGTATTTTTTTCTTTAAAGACATTTAAGCCTCTAGAATTGCCTCAGTACAACTTTCATTTGGTCCCATATTTTCTGGTAGGAAGTGTTCAGATTTTAATTGCTTATTGTATATCATTTTAATTTTTATTTCCTTTTTGATTCAAAGGAAATAAGGTAACTCTGGGCGCCTGGGTGGCTCAGTTGGTTAAGCGACTGCCTTCGGCTCAGGTCATGATCCTGGAGTCCCGGGATCGAGTCCCGCATCGGGCTCCCTGCTCGGCGGGGAGCCTGCTTCTCCCTCTGACCCTCCCCCCTCTCGTGTGCTCTCTCTCATTCTCTCTCTCAAATAAATAAATAAAATCTTTAAAAAAAAAAGGAAATAAGGTAATTCTAAAGCCCAGTGTAATAGTTTAAATTATTGGAGTCTTTTATTATTATTTATTACTAATTTTGTTGGATTATGATCAGAGAATATGACTTATAAAATGTCTGGGTTTTTAAGGTATTTTACGTGGCCAAGTGTTTTTATACATATTCCATGGACCTACCAAGTAAATTATATATATGTATATAATATATATGCAATATGTATGTATATTATATGTATTTATGTATATACTATATATACACATACTATGTATGTAGTATATAATATATATGTTGTAATTACTATATATATGATGCAAAATTCTGAGCATTTAAAATTATCACGGAAACCACCCACGCACCCTCACACGCATGCTCATGGTTCCCCTTACTTCGCTTATCTTTTTTTCATAGCATGTATCTTTTATGATCTTGTAACAACGTAATTTACTTATACAGTGCTTATTGTTCATCCTGTCAATTCTACATGAGTGTAAGGCGCAGGAGAGCCGCTAAGTTTTGTCTGCGGTTCATTGATGTATCCCAAAAGCTACAACGGTGCCTGGCACCAGAAAATACATTAAATAAATAAATCATCATTACCACAGGACCACACAAAAAGCAAAACAGCAATACCACCGGTGTCCATTCAATTCACTAACATCTGTTTCAACATCTGCCACGTGTCAGAATCATGCTGGTGCTAAGTATATGTAGATAAACAAGTCCCCGTCCTCACCCAGCCAATAGGGCACCTGAGAAGGAACGGGAGCCAGTGAAGGATACCGTGAATCAACGAGAAACGTACTCCTTTCATAAACGTACTCTTTGTTGTATTGATCTTAAAATGGCCGCAGTGGCTACCTTTTCGACTCTATTGTCGTCCTTTGCTTCTAGCAACTAAAAACCATCGGCTGTCAAATCCCTAAAACGTCCTGAGGGGGCTTCTAAAAGAGACAGCGACCTTGGCCAGTAATCGCCCATCCACTGAACGACCTCGAATGCTTTTCCCGGTGCGCGGGGCTCCGACACCCACAACACTCTAGAGACCGCGGCCGGAATGCCAAGTGTTGCACTGAGCGTCCCGGCTGCCCTCCGCAGGGGTCAAGGTCGGACGGGCCCCGCGAGGAAGGAATCCGTCTCGCGCACAACAGGCGCTCGCCGACACTCTGGGTCCAGGAGGGAGCCCCAAACACCAGGCAGGAAGAAGCGCAGTCCTCAGCAGAGACTCACCCCCCAACGCCCGACACCACGCACGCATGCGCAGCGGCAGCCGCCGGGCGCGTCCGCCTCGCAGCCTTCGCCCCGCCCCTCGGACCGGAAGAAGTTGCCGGCGCTTCCGGCGCCCAGCAGGCCCGTGGTTGCCTCGGTGATGTCGTGGGTTCAAAGCGCTCCCTTGGTCGGGGGTCCCGGAGAGGAGGGGGACGTATTTGACGAGGAAGCGGACGAGTCGCTCCTGGTGCAGCGGGAATGGTGGAGCCACATGCAGAGACGAGTCAAAGTAAAGCTGCGTGGCGGGCGCGGGGGAGATATGCTGGGTTGCGGGGACAGGGGCAAGGAGCTGTCAGGAGTCAGGGTCGCGAGAGTAGAGGCCAGCGTGGTGCCAGCCTGGCCCGGCGCCGCCCTCCCTCCCCCTGCCACCCAGATACTGCTAGGATTTCCCACTGAAAGCGCGTGAAAGCACGGGGCGGCGCGTTAGACGCTGGGCACAGACCAGAATAAGGTGGGTCTAGACTTCGAAAAGATTGCAGTTTGATGAGGACCACAGAGAAGGTGGGGGAGAAACATAGACACTGACTGTACTAATTAGGGCTGTCGAAGGACATGTGGTTGCTTGAATGGGTGAAGAGCCTAAAGTTAGGAGTGGCATTAATCGAGACGTACGGAAAAAGTGAACTGAGGAATGTCGAAGAGCAATAAAGGAAAGCTACTGTGGCTAAGTGAAGGAATACCAAAGTTGGGTTCTTCTCTGTTCGGTGTGAATTACCCATATCTACTTGGTCTCACTAGTCACTGAAACTAAGCTTAATACCACACACTCAGTTTCCAGCTGGAGTGCTCAGAGCTGAGTTCACATGGTGAGGTCCACTTCCACCTAATATCCTTGCCAGCCATTATGTTGCGCCGGATCTGCCCTTGTTTGTTTCAGTAAAATGTTTGCTTAGCCCAACGACCGTGTTACCGGTTTCAGAAACGCTTCACGTGAGGCGGGGCCTAGACAGGCAAGCATCTTCGGCTTCTGTGGCACCATCGCAGATGCAGGACAAAATCCCTGCCCACGGAGAATCTGCAGTTCATTTGAATTTAGATATCAAGCAAAATGTCTAAAATCACACTTTTCATCTTTTTCCTAACACAGTTTCCTCTTCCCGACTTGAGTTGATTATTGAAGACCTCCAATAACCTATTTATTACCCTGCCTTCTCACCCACTCACACCAGTGTTGCCAAGGGCCAGACGTGTAACTCTGGTTCCTTTCTGTGAAGGTGTTGTTAACACAGGGTTTTTTAAAACTGTACAAGAGTCATTATTTTTAAATGTGCCAAATAAGTCGACTTCAAAAGTGGGATGTGCCAATAATAAACCTTTATGAGAAGCGTACTCTGCTTTGGTTGTGTGGCTTTGCCATTTGTTGTAGAACCATTACGTAAAATAGTAAATAGTAATTTAGTAAAGGCCTATTTCATCAATTTTCCAAACTGGTTCTGTGACTTTCTAGAAAAACCTACAGTGGTTTACTTGGTGTTAATTACAGCTGCAGTTCTTCATTACTTATTTTTAGGAAGGTTATAGAGATGGAATAGATGCTGGCAAAGCAGTTACTCTTCAACAAGGCTTCAATCAAGGTTATAAGGAAGGTGCAGAAATCATTATCAACTATGGACAACTCAGAGGAACATTGAGGTAACTTTTTAAACTTAAATGCTGAGTCATTTTAACCTCAGTAATACTAGAGGACTTGTATAAAAGTAGTATGTAAAAATAAAGCACTTAAACTGAAGTGCTTTTTCTAGTGTTAAATCCACAAAAGAGTACTGCGGAGCATAGAATAATATGATCAGTTCATCCACTCTGATACGTGAGTCAGGTGTTGTCCTTTACTGCAAAGAAAATGATAGGAAGGTGTATATTTTTTGCTACCTGAACTACCACTAATTTGTATCTCAAAGTAATTTAAAAGATCTTCAGGTTTTGAATAAACCTTTCAATCTTGCACATGTGGCAGAACACAGTATAACAGACTTCTAGACTAGAAGTGCATGATGAAAATTATAACTGGTAATAGAGAAATGATTCCATTTACTTTAGCGCTGAACGTTGAACACCTGTCAAGATTCCATAGTAATAACAGCATATATCAGACCCAAGTGGTCAAATGGCAGAAAGAGCTAGGAGCATGACAGGCTTGTCATCTTTGACACTTTATACCTTTTAAATTGTCCTCTATAGAAAAACAAACAAACAACCATGAAACAGTTCAAAGAATCACTAATTTTAAAAAGTAGGAAATAAAAGTTATCAAAACAAAAAAAATTAATTGAGGTTTTAGGAAATTCAACTGTCAGAAATCAGAATTTATACACTAGGAAAATGATCAAGTATTCATTTTACATCAAGTTAAATCTTTTACAAGCTCAGAAAGTTTATTGCTAAATCTTTAATATCAATTGATTCCATTTTTAAAACATGATTACTCTTTGGGGCACCTGGGTGGCTGGGTCAGTTAAGCATCCAACTCTTGATTTCTGCTCAGGTCATGATCTCAGGGTTGTGAGACTGAGCCCCTCAGGGTCGGTGTTGGGCATGGAGCCTGCTTAAGATTCTCTCTCTCTCTTTCTTAAAAGAAACAAAAAAACCCACAGGATTACTTTTCACAACCATTATTTTATATCATGATTACCTGAACAATCTGAAATGTCAGAAAATAAAAGTATTGTCTGTACTAGAAAAATAAAGATATCTATTAGGACTAGAAGAATTCTTACCTTCTTCAGGAAAATAATTAGTTATCTCAACAGTGATTACTCTATGACAAAGTTGGGAAAGAGAAGTTGCCTCAAAACTTTTTTTCTACCCTTTAGTTTTGATGGCAAGTACTTATGGTTAGAACAATTGTCTTCAACCTCGGCTGCACCTTGATATCAGCTGGGAAGCCTTAAAAAATAGTACCCCCAGAGATTCTGATTTCATTGGTCTGGGATGTGACCTAGGCCTTGACAGTTTTAAGAGCCGCCCAGGTGATTCTAATGTACATTCAGGTCTGAGAATCACTAGTCCAGAAGCTGTGTGCTGTCCTTCAAGGAGAAACTAATTTTTGTGATCTCTTTCCCTGAGTTGCATCCCTCTTCAGCAGAAGCTACACAGTCATAAAGAAAAAATCTAAAATCAAGAAAAGTGGATGTGAGGGGCTCCTGGGTGGCTCAGTCATTAAGCATCTGCCTTCAGCTCAGGTCATGATCCCAGGGTCCTGGGATCGAGCCCCGCATCGGGCTCCCTGCTCGGCGGGAAACCTGCTTCTCCCACTCCCACTCCCCCTGCTTGTGTTCCCTCTCTCTCTGTGTCTCTCTCTGTCACATAAATAAATAAAATCTTTAAAAAAAAAAGTGGATGTGCAGTTGTGAAGGAGGTGTTAGGAATTATAAGCACTTTATGTGATTACTTCCAGTTTAATTTTTATCAATAGATAATATCTTTATATATTTTAAAATCTATTTTAGCATCATTACTTTTCCTGATTTTGACTTGCATTATTATTGATTCATTTTTGCATGGTGTTATCTGGAAAAGAAACACGTAGGGTTCAGCATCAAAAATTTGAAAAGCCTTTGATTGTTTAATTTTTTTCCTATTAAACGCTTGTTTATATTTTCATTCAGTGCTTTGCTGTCCTGGTGTCACCTTCATGATAATGGTTCGGCTTTGATCAGTAAAATAAATAATCTTCTGGATGCAGTTGGCCAGTGTGAAGAGTATGTGCTCAAACATCTAAAATCAATCACTTCTCAGCCCCATGTTGTAGATTTACTGGACTCTATTCAGGATATGGACCTTTGTCATGTAGCTCCAGCGGAGAAAAAGACGGATGAAGCTAAAGATGAAAGACTCTGTGAAAATAATGCTGAGCTTCACAAAAACTGTAGCAAGAGTCTTAGTGAGGCAGATTGTTCATCTTTAGAATGTTGTAGAATACAGCAGCATGCACATTCTGAAAACCCGAGCCTCACTTGGATTTTAGAACAGACAGCCGGTTTAGTAAAACAGTTGGGAATATCACTTGACATATTACAGCACCTCAAACAACTTTAAAAATTCTCTTCACTTTTCTAATGAAAGTAATGTTCATAACATTTCTTAGAACATTTTGTTTCTTAACTAACCAAAATTTGTACCAGTTTCTATGTTGAACACATCACTTGTAGGTTATCCTTCATGGAAATTTGCAATATTTTCAAAATTAACACTACTCAATGTAATAAGAGCTTTTTTTCTTTGTCACTGGTAATTTTTATGTCATTTAAGATACGCTCAGTAACTCAAGTTGCCATTGTCATTTTCAAGTTTCTGATCAAAATCAAGCATTTTCAGACTCATTAGCAAAAGTGAACGAGAATCAAACACATTTTGTAAGGACCTAACCCTGCTTTCTGCTCTTGTCACCATTGGGTGGTTAGGACCTTACCACCCTCTAATTAGACCAAAGTTACCATAAATAACATAGTGGATAACATTGTAAATAGACACACACAGATATATAGAAAATAGACACACATAGATATATTGAAATTAAGAGGCTATAAGTGTAAGAAACTGAAGAAATGTTTGTACTGATGATTAAAAACAAAATATTAAAATTTGTTTTTGGTTTTGTTTTTTTTATTCACAAGTAGTTCCTACACCCAGCATGGGGCCGGAGCTCACAAGCCCCAGATCAAGAGCTGCATGCTTCTCCGACTGAGCCAGCCAAGTGCACCATGAAATTCATCTTAGTTTTATGTTAAAGGCAAGGACATACAATTCCACGGAAAATACAAAATACATTCCGTGCTCAAGTACATGGATTTTCCATGTATTAAGGGTTAGTAGTGGTTCCTAACAAAGTGCCAGATTATTTCTAAGCTGCAGTTTTGTTTCACATATCCATACAGGAATAAACACAAACCACTGACATACATTACCCGGTAGCAGTATTCTTAGTCTAGCATAGACAAAATTAAGATTCAAGCTTTTGCTCCAGGACCTAAACATATGAGACCAGGAAAGGATTTTTCAGCGCTTTCTTGGCTAAAATACAGAGTTGTATGAGGTGCCTGCCTTCAGACCAGACCTTCTTTTCTCTAAAAGATAGACATACTAAGATAGTGAGAGAATCTGATAAAAGAAGTCTTTCAAGAGATTCATAAGATATTCTGCTGTGATTTCACAACCTCCTTCAAGTTCACAGAACATTAAAAGTCATGCCTGGCTGGCTCACAGCTTGGGGTTGTGAGTTTGGGCCCCATGTTGGGTGTAGATTGCTTAAAAATAAAATCTAAAAAAAAAAAAGTTCACAGAACATTAAGAAATTAAGCAACAAATTTGAAGTGAGAAGATCATATATGGGGGCGACTGGCTGGTTCCGTCAGTGGAGCATGCGACTCTGGATCTTGGGGTTGTGGGTTCGGGCTCCATGTTGGATGTAGAGATTACTTAAAATCTTTTTAAAAAACTAAAGACCATATACTCTTTGAAGATTTCTAAAACGTTGAAGAAATCAAGTGATATTTGACTTTAAAAAAAGTGTTTAAGGGCATCTGGATGGTTCAGTCAGTTAAGCATCCAACTCTTGGTTCCAGCTCACGTCATGATCTCAGGGTCCTAGGATTGAGCCCCACATTGGGCTCTCTGCTCAGCGGGGAGTCTACTTCTCCCTCTCATTCTCCCTCTGTGTTCTCCCTCTCTCTCTCTCAAATAAATAAAAATTTTAAAAAATAAAATCTTTTTTTTAAAAAGTGCTTATATCTCTCTAGGTGTAAACACTATTTCAGATATTTACTAATTGTCTTGTTTTATATATATATATATTTTTTTTCCATGTTTATGGACCAGTCAAAATCTCAAATCCACATGGGATGTTATAAGCAGTCTCTAAAGTTAAAGTGTTGTTCTGCCCTGCATATTAGATATGAAATATCCATCTCTAATGATGCATCTCAAGAAAGTCACACCCTGCGTGAAAATTACACCAGTGCAGTAAATCTTGAGATTTTATGTGGGCTCACCCTGCTAAGATTCTCTGCAGATAATACCCCTTGCCACTACTGATAATACGGTGTTTTTGTGCAGATGTTCATAGAGAAATCAAGAGAATTAGCTGAGTTGATGAGGCTGTTTGGTCGAAAATAACTCTTAAGCTTGGTTTGCCTTTGAAAGTTTCTGGACTGCAGAAATGAATGTTAATGGTATGCCCATCATACCTGTGTCTAATGAACACGAGCCTCTATACTAGAACCAGCAGGATTGAGGGAAAGAAAGCCTGCTTGCCGTGTGTCTTTTGTCCTGACTCATGCTGTAGGCATGCTGGCTGTTGCCATGGTCAGACCCCAGACGACCATAAAGGTAAAGCAAGACTGCAGGTGCAGCCAGAGTTGTAAGGCCCAGAACCCATACATGAGGCCTGAGGGGTGTGGCCGCCTTACAAACGGAATTCTCACCCTAAATAATTTCTAGATGCTGAAATCCCTGGAGCTCTTTAGTTTGTTTTAATGGAAGGAAGAGTCCACAATACTCTGCTTTTTGGACATTTTCAGTTGCTAGAGCTGCTGAGGCCACCAAAATGTGTGTGATAGACCAACAGGAAGTGGCAGCTGAATTTACCTGCCCGCATCCTTATCTCATTTATATCCTTAGCACTGCTTATGAACTGCTTTTGTGGTAAACCAAAATAAAAGCCTTGAACCAAGTCCAAGTTGGGATTCTCACCCATCTTCAAACTGAAGTCAAAGCTTTGTGTTCCAGTCCAAGATAGGCATATAGATACGTATAGGAAAAGTCCTTAACTTATATTAAAAATCTTACTGATTTCAAATAAGTAAAAATTAAAATCTTACTAATTTCAGACCAATGGATGAAGTAAATGTCATATGCTATATTAATAAACTACCGATCAGACTTCTGGCTCTACAGAAATTCTCAAATCTCTATCCTGATGGTATTTGACCTATAGTCGGCCTTTCTTGCTTCTGCTGTCACCGCCTCTTCCTGACAAACTACGAAGAGGAGTCTGCTGTCGCTCTCAGACTGTTTTCTGCTCATATACTCCTCAGCGTCAACCTGCTTCTTAAGGTCACCTGTGGCTGAGCTCCCACAGTGGCCCCTTCCTGACTTGTCTCCCCCATCACTGGACATGGTGACCATCCCCGGCTTTTTACAGTCCCTCCACTTGCCTTCAGCAGCACGTTTTCTTACCCTGCTTACCCTGGTATCTCGCTGTTTCCTACCATTCTGCTAAGTCTTGCCTTCTCTGCCTGCCTGAGGATGCCACACTTTCATCCTTGGACCTCTTTTTGTTTTTATACTCTAACCAGATCGTCTCACTTGCTCCCACAGTTTCAAACATACTATCCCAAAGCTGATGTTCCCACGCCTCTTTCTCTCCCAGGCTCTAGACCCGTATTTCCGACTGCAATTTCTGCCTGCCTGGGTCCAGGCTTAGCTACAGAGCACGTCTAAAACTGACCTCGTTTCCATCTTCTCCCTTCCCCCGCCGCCCGAACTGCTGTGCCTTTTGTACTTGCGATCTCCTCCTGTAATCTCTGTTCACTCAAAGCCGGAACCTTTTTTTTTTAATCGAGATATAATTGATACATAACACTATATTAGCTTCGGGCGGACAGTATAATGATTCGATATTTGTATATAATGCAAAGCAGTCACCACAATGAGCTTAATTAACATCCATCACCACACACAGTTACGATTTTTTTTTCTTGTAATGAGAACTTTTGAGATCTACTCTCTTAGCAACTTTCAAATATATAATGCAGTATTATTAACTATAGTCACCATGCTGCACATTACATCCCCATGACGTTTATTTTATAAATAGTTTGTAAAAGCTAGAAACATTTTTTCCTCTGCTTTTCCTTTGCTATCGGACCCTACTTCCAATGGGGAGTTTATCTGTCTTACTTTAAAACATGCCTTGAGGGGCACCTGGGTGGCTCAGTCGGGGAAACGGCTGTCTTGGGCTCAGGTCATAATCCCAGGGTCCTGGGCTCGAGCCCCCTGTCGGCTCCCTGCTCGGTGGGGAGTCTGCTTCTCCGTCTCCCTCTGCCCACCTCATCCCGCTTGTGCTCTTTCTCTCTCAAATAATTAAATCTTAAAAAAAAACATGCCTAGAATCTGACCCCTCTTTCATTCTAATCACCAAATTTTAATTAACCTTTGCACCAGCCTCATCACTAATGTCCGTACCTCGATTCTAGCAGTCTTCCTGTCCATGCTCCACTGCCACCCTTATCTACCGAAACAGGTTCCTTCTAGAGTTTAAAGCCTGTATTTATTCCCTTTTTTCTACTGGCTAAATTATAAACTTGAATTTCATTTCTGGACCTCCACGGCATTGTCCGTGTGATTTCCCATCCTACCTTCTGCTTCACCGTGCACTCTATACCTCTTGATGGTTCCCAACTTCTAATTTTATTCATTGCTGACCCTTCACCCCAGATTATTTTATTCCACATCCATCCTTCCCAGCAAATTCCTACTTAACCTTCAGTACCAGCTCAAATTTCAACTTTCCCAGGCCCAGTTAGCTCTTTCCAGTATTCCCTCTGCATCATTTTGAGTATCTCAGACTTCAAATTTATTCAGGAAATTGCCTTATTCATTGTTACATCCCCAGCACTTAGCATCATAACCTATACTTAGGTGGTATCTTAAGTGAATCTACTAGACAAAATGAAAAGAAAACCAGAAATTTAGGATTCAAAATACATCACGTTCTTTTGTTTTTAAAAGGGAAAAGGAACCTTTGTATTTAACTTTAAGAAAAAAATTTTCCTTTCATTTTGCATGTCAATCAAGTCCACATAACCAAATTGTATCATCATCTTATACCAGGCTAAACAGTAGCATTAAGACAATACTACTTACCAGGGCGCCTGGGTGCCTCAGTCAGTTGATTTTGGCTCAGGTCGCGATCTCGGGATCATGATCTCAGGGTCCTGAGATCAGGCTCCATGTGGGCTCCATGCTCAGCGGGGAGTCTGCTTGGGATTCTCTCACCTTCTGCCCACCCCCAAATAAAGAAATAAATCTTTGGGGGAGAAAAAGCAATACTACTTATCAATCATTTAAAATTGCACTACTGAATAAAATTACAGTATAATTTTTAAAGATACAAAATTACGTTTGGAGTACAGTTTCAGCTGTTAAGCAAGAAAGAACAGAAAGAAACCGCAGGAGAAAAAAAACTGGAAAGAAACAAAAATACTTGTTTCTAGCAGGATGCCTCGTGCCTAATCTCTGATAGCAGTAAGGAGCTGGAGGAAATGAAGGAGTGGGTAAAAAAATAGCTAACAAATACAGGGTTCATGATATACAAGCACTGTTCTGAAAACTTTGCACATATTAATTCATTTATTATTCACAACAACCCCATGCAACAAAGCTATTAATTATCCCCATCCCAGCGATGAGGAACTGGGGCACTGAGAAGATGAAGTAACTCTTCCAATTCACCGTTACTACATGGCCCAGATGAGATTTAAAGCAAGGCAAACCTAGCTCCAGAGTCTGTGCTCAAGGTAGATGTGTACTGAGTAATAGCCCAGTAGCAGGAGCTGTGTTTAGCAGAGGGACTATGAACTGTATTTTCCCCCTCACTCTTCATTTCTACTTTTCTGTATTTTTCAAATCTTCTCCAGTCAAGTATTATTTTTTAATAAACTGTGCATAATAATCAGCAGCTACAGGGCGCCTGGGTGGCTCAGTCCGTTAAGCATCTGCCTTCAGCTCAGGTCATGATCCCAGGGTCCTGGGATGAGCCCCGCATCAGGCTCCCTGCTCAGCAGGGTGTCTGCTTTGCCCTCTGCGCACGTTCTCTCTCACAAACAAATAAAATCTTTAAAAAATAATAATAATCAGCAGCTACAAAGAACGATAAATTTACCAGAAATGTGTTTGCTATATACCTAGAAAAAGAAAAATACCATTCCCTAATTGGGGGAGGGGGGTGGGGAGAGAGAGAATCTATCATGTAGGGAGTGGTACAGCAAGGTGCATTTAGCATATTCAGAGATTAAATTCCCCTTGGACTCCTTAGACTTTCTACACTCCTCATGGAGAGGATAATTTGTGCCACCTATTTTGCGATAATGTTCCTTTAGCTCTCATAAATTTCTACTTAACTTTCACAAAGCAGGGGATTAGCTCACTGCTTACAAATATATCCATTGATACAGATCGGCCAAAAGGAGCCAAGAGTCCTTAACGTACACCAAACTTCATTTCCTTGCCCTATAAGTAGTCTGATCTTTCCAGAAAGAAGGTAAGCAAAGTACAAAGACCTACCTATGATAGATTCAATGCTGCGGAAGTTGAGAAGTTGAGTTCTCCGTTCTTTCGCGCGTGAGTGTGCAACTCGCGGCCGGGAGGGAGGCGGTGAATGTTTGGATCCTGTTTATTTCCCAGGAGCCGTGGGATGAGTTGGCCACTGGGTGGCGCTGCTGCATCTTTGCTTCGTCTTCATGGTCACAAGGACACGAAGCCAACGATTATACCTAAAGCTATGCCAGACAGATTGAGTCATTTGTAACACTGGAAGGTTGGGGAGTCAAGAAACCAAGAAATGAGGAGGGCCCCCCCTTTTTAAATTCTAGGCTGAGAATTTTTCTAAATCAAAATAACCATCATAAGGAAACCTGTTCTCAAGAAAAAAGCCCCTTTTATTCTCCAAATCCCTGAGGGCTAAAAATAAGCACCTAGAACCCAAAGTATAGAGCCTTTAATCAGAAGTGATATAAAATTATAATTTCACATGCTTGAAGCATCTCTATTTTGTGAGGCCGGACTGTGCCTAAAGTGTTTCAAACAATCTTAATCTCTCTCCCTCTCCCTCTTTCCATCTTTCCCTCCCTCTCTCCCTCCCTCTCTCCCCCTCTCTCTCTCTCTCCCCCTCTTTCCCTCTATCCTACCTCCATTTCTACCTCTCTATTTCTTTCATACACACACACAAACTGAACTTTTCAGGATTTAGAGGTAGGGAGAGACAACAACTGACTTTGTTAACCTCTCCAGTATGTCACAACCCTTCTTTTTTTCATCAACAAGTCTACAACCAGAGGTTTTCCTCACATCAAATACAACTCTTTCCAGCTACTATTAAGCCTGTTTCCTTAGGAGTCGCAAAGTCACCGTCATGTAATATTACTTATAAAATAAGTATATAAGTTCTATAAGAAATTTTTTAACATGAAATATAAATAACTTGCCAAATCCTTTGTAATAATAAGAGTGATTTGACAACAATAAGAGTGATTTGACAGTTCTTGCCAATAAAGCAAAACTGGACTGAAGTAAGGGAGGGTATAATGTAAATAACCTGATAATAAAACACCTTTCTTTTTCTTCGTTGGAAACACCACAAAACAATTTCTTTCAAAATCAGATCCTAAAATAACCAGGGACTCTCATTTGTGATTATCAACTATCTCGTAAAACATCAAATCGTACTTTAGGAACCTTCAACGATGAAGTCATTTACTTGTTAAAAACTAACAAGGGGCACCTGGGTGGCTCAGTCGGTTGAGCATCTGCCTTTGGCTCAGGTCATGACCCCTGGGTCCTGGGATCGGGCCCCACGTTGGGTTCCCTGCTCAGGGGAGAGTCTGCTTCTCCCTCTACCCTTCTCCCCCTGTTTGTGATGTCTCTCTCCCTAATAAATAAATAAAATCTTTAAAAAAATAAAAACCACAAATTTTTCATCTGTGCTAGAAATTATGGTCATGGGGTTGATCACAGAAGGAAAACTCATTTAATGCACTTAGAGATTTAAATCCCAAGCGGGAGCCAATTAAACTATTGTTCTTTGAAATCACTTTGTTTTGCTATTCAAGATGCCAAATAATATATTATTAGTGTTTTAATCTTCTTATAAGACTGTATGAGGCTCCCACAAAGTCTGCAGTCTGGCCATGTTCATGATGACCCCATTTGTCAGCTCAGAGACCGTTTTTATTTCTGTCCATATGCTAGAACAAAGGACTGCCTTGGTGAAGGTAGCAACAGCACTAGGGGCAGAGATGCGATCCGTGTTCACTCAGCTGCTCACAGGCCCTACCTCTAGTGTGAACATGAGACTCCTGACCTCATCCCAAGTTACTGCTGGCTCAAGGGAAGCAACCAAGGGACGACTAGAGAAAGGTCAGGCAGAGTAAGTGGCCTTTGACAGATATTGTTCAGTTGATGGAGAGAATGAGTAGAGAGGCTGACAAAGAAGTTTGCTGAAGATCCACAGCTTTTAGTTTGACATGGTGGGGTCTGTATGAAATCAAAGATACCCTACTTCTAGGATTTGATCTAAGGAAATGATTGAACAGGTAATAAAAACTCAGCACAAAGATACTCATTGCTACATTCTATCTAAAGTAGAGAAGAATTAGAAACAACCTAAACAACCAGCACTAAAAGAATAGCTAAGGGGCGCCTGGGTGGCTCAGTTGATTAAGCATCCAGCTCTTGGTCATGACTCAGGGCGTGATCTCAGGTTGATGGGATTGAGCCCCACCTCAGGCTCCGTGCTCAACAGGGAGTCCGCTTGAAGATTCTCTCCCTCTGCCCCTCTCCCTGCGTGCACTCTCTCTCTCTCTCTCAAATAAATAAATCTTCAAAAAAAAGAATAGCTACGTAAATTATAATCCATCTATTCATAGCAGTGTGACACACCCATTTACAGGTCATCATTATGAGAAACGAGATACTTATGGGGTATTTCTAAGTGAAAGCTAAAAGTTACATACCTATGTGGAAAAATTATGTTTAAAAATGTGTACTTTACAGATAAAAACTGGAAGATTATGCTCAGATATGGTAATGTATTCATGTGGTGGGATTAGAGGGTTTTTTTCTTTTTCAGAATTTTCTTTCATGTTGTGCTATTTTACAATAAGAAAAGGAAAATATTTGGAAAACTGTTCATTTTTAAGAAAAGGAACCACATATGCTTTATCCTGAAAATCAGAATCTGGAAAAAAGCAAATGCACTTAATTCAAAACAGTGGATCAAGAGAAGATCCCCAGACTACTCTCTGGTGAGGGGGCATACAACAATAAATCAAAATATATTTATTAAGTTTATAATTTTTTTCAGTTATATCAAAACCTAAAATTTATTCCTTGAAGTATAGATAATCGACTTTAAACCCCAATGGAAGAGAAAGGGGATACACTAGAAGCCATTTCTAGTTGCCTTTAGTGCATTTTCTAACAGCCCTTGTAAGGTTTTACTTCGGCAGATACTAACAATTACACCTGCTGGGGGGTGCCCCAGGAATGTGGGTACATTCTCAGTAGCATGTGTAGACTGGCCTTAACAAAATAAAACAAAACAAACAAAAATTAAAAAGTGTTTTATTGGATTTGTCACAATATTGCTTCCATTTTAAAAGAGAAAGATCAGTTCACAAAATTGGAATTCCTATTAGCCCAATTGAGTTATTTTTCACTGACTCTCGGGGAAAACCGATATCATACATAGGAATCACTTGTACACAATACATCTTACCCAATAATAAGATACTCAGAACTTCAAAAAGTTCAACAAGAAGTGACTGACTGCTAAGTTAAATAGATTTGGAAGAGAATATATATATATATTCATATTTCTTTGGTTCTCCATGTTGATTGGACTATGGCAATAACTGGTCAAATTTGCCATTATTTTGTGCATGTTAATAAACTGTATGCATACATACATATGGTATTCTGTCTGCTTCCGCAAACAACTGGAACCTCTTCATTCCCACATCTGTAAAATGGAGGTAATGGTAGCAATTTCAGTGTTTCTCTGAGGATCCCCTGCCATCATGATGCAAGTCAAGTGCTTACTCGGTGTTGGATACCCAGGAGAGCCGGTGTCCCTGGTGGCTAAGGATGGCAGATTGTCTGCTCTGAAGCTCCATCACTGACAAGTCCCGTCACCTTCCTGTGCCCGTTCCTGCATCTCTCAAATAATAGTGCCTACCTCATAGGGTTGTCGAGAAGAATAAATGAATTTGGGTATGTGGAGTACTTCGGACAATGCCTGGTACGTCTGCGGTGCTCACTACCCGTTAGCTGTTTATTTTCTGTTCTCCTGAGCATTGTGCCTGCTATTTGGATAAACTGCAGCAAGAGCTTTAGCTGTCTTTAAACAACTTTAGCTATCATGAAAATCTGCCCTGATGCAGACACAGCCAAGCTTGCCACTGCTATGGCTAAAGGTAATTAGCATGATTCCTTCCTCTCTCTCTCTCTCTCTTTTTTTTTTTTTTTTTTTTTTCAGCGGGGTTTGGGAGGGAGAGATGGTTACATAAAGAAAAGAAAAAAACGTTTTAAAGATTTACAGAAATTAGTATAAAATTATACTTCAAAGTGATGATCGATGGGGGAGTTTTTGGAAACTTTGGGGACCTTTTTTTGGTTGTCAGAGTGATAGAGGAGGGTGCCCCTAGCAATAGTTGGGGGGAGAGGATGCTGTACCTGCTGCAATACCCAGATCAGCCCTTCACAACACAGAACTGTCCTGCATCCCTCACAACATTCAAATGCCCCGGAGACATTCATGTAAATGGAAAATCTGTTTATAATGATCTAAGCCTAGAACCTAACTATTTACTAAATATGAACCCAAATGGGTTTTTCTTTGTTTGAACATTATTGATTTTCCAAGTTATTAAATAATTAGGTTCCTCGTGAAGTATTTCAACATTACAGAAACAATGTAGAAAATATTATTTAGGAAAAGTAAATCTTCCATATTGCTACCTGTTATGGACTGAATTGTGTCCCCCCGAAATTCATGGTGGGACCTTATTCCCTAGTACCTCAGAATGTGACTATATTTGGAGACAGGGTCTTTAGAGAGGTGATTAACTTAAAATGAGGCTGGTAGGGGGGCCCTAACCCAGTCTGACCAGTATCCTTATGAGAAGAAGAAATTTGGACATCCACAGAGACACAGAAGAAAGACGATGTGAGGACATTGAAGAAGACAGTCGTCTGCAAGCCAAGGAGAGAGACTCCAGAAGGAACCATACCTGCTGACGTCCTGACCTTGATCCAGAACTCTGAGGAAATAAATCTCCGTTGTTTAAGCCATCCAGTTTGTGACACCTTGTTATGGGAGCCTGTGCGAACTGATAAGTCACCCCTCCAGATTCCTCCAGAATCTTTCTAGGTACATACTAGCAAATGGCACAATTTCATTTTACAGAAATTCATTGCTCAAAACAGATACACATTGAATATGCAGTATTTTCAGAGAGGATAATTTGATGTGCAGAACAAAATCCCTACTAAAATGAAATCATACCAAATATACAAAAAGCAGCTTGATCTGTTCCCTTTATAATATATCCTAGGCATCAGCCTGTGTCTGCAGTGGTAACTCTCATTTACTGAGGGCTTCGTATGTTCCAGGCACTGGAATAAACACTTTGCTTGCAATGTCTTACTCCCTATTCCTCAAAGCCAGTTGAGATAGTAGAATTGAGAGCCCTTTGGAAACTCTAAA